CACTTTATTGTTAACTGTTAAATAAATATGCCAAGAGGCTAAAGATAATTCAAGTGTGTTCAAAGGCTGATATTTGCTTCCTTCTGTGTGCATTGTATTTTTCCATTGAAATGTATTCTGAGATTAAATTTGTCCAGTGATTGATGTGGCAAGATTTCTTTGATTTCCAGTTTTGGAGGACTACTTTCTTAGCGACAACTAGAGAGATGAGCAACGGATTCTTGAATTTTTGTGGGATGTGGATTTCGGAGATGTCACCAAGGAGACATAGTGTAGAGGATGATGGGATTCTGTAGCTCAGGATGGTGGACAGTGTCTCAGTGACTGTGATCCAGAAAGAGTGAACTGGTTGACAGAACCATATGGCGTGTAAATAGATGTCTGTGCTACCTAAAGTGCATTGTGAACAGATACGCTCATAATTTTGCAGGAGAGGTGTGCAAGAGATGAAATGTGAATAAAAATAGGGGAATCACTGTGTTGACTTGGTTGCTTCACATCCACAGATCAGTGTCTGAAGTCTTTGCATGAATGAAAAGTTGTGCTCACTTCCCCCTCCACTTAGAAACCACCATTGAATTTGTTATTATAGAACCAGTAGTGATGCTACTATTAGGAGTAACTGTAGTAACAGCAGCAGCAGATTAAGACAGGAGAGAAAATACACATTAAATATATTCATCTCTCCCCTTTAAATGGCCTTTGTGTGTGAGGGAGACGGTAGTTCTAGATAGAAAGCTCATCTATTATTGATAAGGATTGGATGTTATTCTGTGTCTCTCTACATTGCCTCCTATTGTTCACTCATGTTTTAAAGACGAAGTAAAGTATAGAAAAAAGATAAAGGGGGCAGGAAAAAGAGGAGGAGAATAAATTGCAGAAGAAAAGATGGGGAAGAGGTAGCGCTACAGCGACCTAAGCAGCTTAACAGCTGATTTAAGATGCTCTGAGCTGACAACTCTGCATAAATACAACTGTTAACCATACGGTCCAAAGACAGAAACTCTTCCTGAGAGTGGTAGAGCGAAATAGCTAGCATGGTAAGACTGCCATATTAAATAATTAGAGACTAAGGCCTCTAGTTTGATGGCAGTGTTTCTGAACGTTATCTGTGGGCATAAACTACAGCACCAGTAAAGACAAAACCAGCAGTAAGTGAAAAGGTTGGACTGATAAATTGTCCCTACTAATGCTCACATAAACTACTGATATCATATACTTGCTGCACCTGCTGTTGACAGGCATGTCTGAGCCAACCACGACCTCAAAACGTACTCATGGACTCTTCTGTCGAGCCTTGACATTTAGCACAGGGTCTTGTTCACGAGTGAGGGCAAAATGCGCTCAGCAGCAATGCTGGCTTTAGGGCTGGGTATTGATAAGAACCTTACGATTCGATTCAATTTTGATTCTTTAGGTCACAATTGGATTCAATTTAATGAATCGATATTGAATTGTGAAAAAATATATTGTAATGCATTGTACACACACACACATGCACAGTACACAATGGCTCTAGATAGAGCCGGGTCGTCAAAGACAGATGGTGTTCAGTTAGTTGCAATCTGGACCTTCATACCACTAAATCCTTTGTGCCTGGTTTAAATCCAGAACCAAACGTGAGCCCCACTCTGTTGATAGCATGACGAGTGGCATGGTGGAGACACTAAAAGAGGGGTGAGGTGAGTCACCAAAATCATTAATAATCTTATAAATCTGACTCATAATCGAATATTTCCATGAATATTTAATTTTCATCGACTGCTAACATTGGCAACGGAACTGCAGCACTGCATCCACTACCAGGTACAAAGACTGTTGGGCTGTTCTCTCAGAGAAAAAAACATAAACAGACACATACATACATACATACATGATGTTGAGCATGACTCACACACTCCTTGCAGACACATCCATATCCATGGGCAGACTTACACAGACAGCAGACAGTGTGTGTGGTGATGCAGAAACCAGGAAGCGGCTGTACACCCGGCTCCCAGCAGCATGCTACTGTGTCAGCACTCTCTGGCCGAGGGCAGGATAAGATTTGTATCACTTCCAAGCTAGACGGTGCTAAAGTCAGAAGCACTTCTGTCTAAAGTTCTTTTTCTTGATTCCATTATGATTTATATGTTAACATACACTAAGCTACTATTAGGGCTGTCACCATAACATTTAGCGATTCTTTGCAACAAGGCCTACATCCATGTTGCTAATTTCAGCTGCTCTCTCAAAGCTTCCCTTTTCCTGGCTGTGCTATATGAAATTATGGCTCAGTTCAAGTAAGCCTTGAGCGTATCCCAAAGTATTGATGGATTGGTATCATTGTTATCATTAGTTGAAATAAAAATATTAATTTGTTCTTCCAT